CTTCCTTGTGTTCCTCCTCCTCCAGGTTCATAAATTCTACCGGGGCAGTGGGGGAAGTTTCAGCAAAGCTCAGGAGGAGTGGACCACGGGAGCATGGAAGAACCCACACGTGCAGCAAGCAGCCCAGAATGCAGCTATGGGGGCAGCCCAGGGTGCCATGAATCAGCCGCAGACTCAATATTCTGCCACCCCCAACTACACATACTCTAATGAGATGTGAGCCAGCCAAGCCTACTGGGAGGCAGGGCTGGGGGATGATGGAATGGGGCTCAAGTCACATAATCTGTTGTGGTGACCAAGCAGGGTTCTCCCTTTCCTTTTCTCCTCTTTGTACAAAGAAGAAGAAAGAAAGAAAGAAAAAATATATATCCCCTGCCCCTTTGGATTTTGCTCTGAGCATTCTGAGAGCTATAGGCTGCACATGGAGCTGCCCCATGTTGCAGTAGTAGTTGTGTCCATGTCCCATGTAAAGTAGTGTGCAGTGGAGGTCTCTGTTGTGGTGCTAGATGTATATTTAGAACTAAATCAGCCACCCACCCTCCATCTGGCTACTCCCTCTGACCTTGGCCCAAGGACCCCTCATGGGACAGGAGGCATAGCCGAGAGAGCCTGGCCCCCTCCCCAGGATTATGAGTTGAAACTGTTTCCACTTTTGGTCTTACTGGGAAGTGACACTATTTAGCACTCATGGTAGTGGTGGTAGTGGGACTCCTAATTTGAGTACCCTTCCCCTCCTCTCTTTCTGCTGTCACATTCCCTGTGGTCTATTCTCTTGCCCAGGATTTTTCTCTTCCCCTTGTGGTTTTTCTTTGTCTTCCCCAATGCTGAATGTCGCAGTAGTATCTGCTCCTGAGACTGAGCCCATTCCCAGATCAAAGAAGCAGATAGGAATGCTGAGCCTTGGCCCTGATGTGGGAGGGCACACTGATGCAGAGCCCTTTGGGCACCTGTCTCGCAGGGAATGGCATTGCAGGGTCATCCCCCTGATTCTCAGAGCTAAGCCTGTAGAGGCAGGCTCCTCTTTTTCCTATCCTGCTTCCCCTGCTTCTCTTCCAAGAGACCCCTCAAGCCCCTCTGCCTAGGTCTCTCCCCAAACCCCAAGCTGCTGTGGCCTGATACTGCCACCCTACCCTGCCTTCCCTGAAGAATTGGGTGGTGTTCAGGCAAAGGTACAGCTGAAGTAGAGGACATGTAAATAATTATTGTTTCCTGGGTGAGGTCTGGCTGGTTCAAGCCTTCAGGGAGGTACTAGGTGTCTCTGAGTGACTGACCATTGGATTCCTGGCAGCAGTAGCTGTTCTGTGTGCTTCTGGTAGAGGGGATAGGCTCAGAGGGCTGGGCCTGGAGGGAAGATCAGAGGAGAGGGCAGGCATGGCCCATTGAGAGTGCTGCATGACTCCCCCTTGCCAACTTGCTCTTGGTCACAGGGCAGTTCTGGGCACTTGAACTTAGGGCCCAGGAAGAAGCAAAGGGCCAATCTTTTCAGCAGGCTCAATGGCTGAAATGGGATTTCAGGTTAGTATTGGTGGGAAGGGAGCCTCTCTGGCTTTTGTTTGTTTTTTCACATCAAGATAACTTGCTACCTTCTGCCTACTGGCAGAAGGTTCTTGGCCCTTCCTCACCCTCCCAGAACCCCTTTCTCTTCCAGGACAGTGATTTCAGGGTTATAGGGCTATTCTGCTCCAAGCATTATGAGAATGTTGTTGGTAAAGACCCTGGTTCTCTGAGGCCTGGAGGGGAGTGGATTCTCACTCAAGGAGTAGCTACTCATTTCCTACTCTCCCTTCTCCTACCTGGGTATTTGGCCTGAAGAACCAAACCCTGCTTGGCCATTGTGGACTGGCTCCAGCTTGGAACCCAGCACCTGGGCTTCCAGTTATAATCCTGAGCTTTGAGCTCCAAGCACTAAATTTTCCTATAAGGGAGCCAGGGCCTCTGGGAAGTTCTCTTTCTAATGGTCCCTTAGGCTTGGGCCAGAGTGTGATTGGCTCTCTCCTCTACCACTTTCTCTCCAAAAAGTATTTGTTACAGCCCATAGTATGCTAGGTCTAGGTTCTTCCTTCCCTATCTTCTCCCCAAGCCCAGACCTCTGGCTCTTAGTCTGGCTCTTAGAAAGCTCTTAGTCTCTGTGGTAGCTTCAGAAAGGCCTGTGGTCTAGCTGCAAGCCCAGGATCCAGGACCTGCTGGTTGCCACATCCAGTCAATTTCCTTCTCTTCCTGCCTTTCCTTTGTCCTAGCCCAAGACCTATGTGACCATGCCTGACTATCCTTGGAAGACCTGCTACTTGTGTGTGGCTGAGCTTGTCCAGGCCCTTGGATGCTGCATCTCCAGGCAGCTAAGCACTTTTCTGGTGAAAGATCTAGTATGAGAAATGGGGCTGGGCACAGATTCATCTCTGCAGGATGGTCTGGGGGGTGGGGTGGAAGAAGCCCACGTCAATTTTTTGAATCCTCAGGTTTGCAGCCAGTGACCTGTTTTTGTATTCTTATTTCTGGGAGACGTAGACCATTCTCCATCTGGCAGTTGACCAGCTTGAGCCAGTGTGTCTGTGGTAACTGAGTGAACCATAATAAATGGGAACATTTGGCCCTGTGTATCCTGCTGTGTCATGTGTCTTCATCTGGGCCTGTGTGGAGCCTCACCTGTGGGCTGTGGGGTGTGGAGGTAGGGTGGTTTGCCGGAGGAAGTAGAAGGCTGGATTAGTGGGGGAGGGGTAGTTTGGTCCAGTTAGGCCCTGCCGGCAAGGGCAGAGGAAGAGCACAGAGGGCCCCACTAAACTCTCATGATGGAAACTGGCAGCTGACTGAACAGCCTCCGGGGCAAAGTTGCCTCCACCTGCTTGCTCCAGATGCCTTCCTGTTGCCATGCCGCTAACACCATATGGACTGCTGTTTTGGTAGTCTACTCACCTGCTCATCCTTCAGGATTCATCCCGAGTGACTCCTCTGAGATGGTTTACCTGCCTCTATGTGTTTACACCCCTCTGCTTCTTCGTGGGCGACCTTTTTCTGTAATTTTCTGTGTTTCTGCTTGTCTCAAGAGCAAGGATGCGTCTGATTTATCTCTGTAACCCTTGCACTTAAAACAGAAGAGGCTCGCTAAGTATTCAGTATTAAATGCCCCACGATGAGCAGTGTTTATGTGTGGGATGGGGTGTGGAGTGAGGAGGCTGGGCAATTAGACGAAGCCCAGGTGAGAGCACCAGGAAAATCAAGAACGGTGAGCCTGGGTTTGGCCGCTGAATTCCCTTGAGTGGACTACAACTACCACAAAGCAAAGAAATGGACTACAACTCCCAAAAGGCTGTGCGATCACGTAGGCTGCGAGATGCTTACGTGAAGTTGTGTGCCAATTAGAATCAGCGCGAAATCGACAGAGATAGTGCGATATTTGGGTTTACCCGAGACGCCCCTGGCGAGGGTGAGGAGTCAAAGGGAGCTGGGAAACTGGAGGGGATAAGGGGTCGGAGACTGGGTCTTCCAGCGGGGCAGGAGGGAGGTCAGGCCGGAAAAGCTTCGCTTGCGACAGTGGTTCTGCGGCTGTGCCTATGTCCTCACTTTCGTGTGTGTGTTCGCGCGAGCGCTCCACCTCGTTTTCTATCTATCTGTGAAGCTCAGCTTGCACTGTGGGGCAGCATGTAGGGACTGTGGAGCCTGTGGGGACTTCATTTTCCTATATGTGCTCCTGGGCCGGAGCATTAAGGACCTCTTTCCGGCTAGCAGCGGTTCTCAACCTGTGGGTCGCGACCATCAGAAAACACATATAGCATATCAGATATTTACATTATGATTCATAACAGTAGCAAAATTACAGTTATGAAGTAGCAACAAAAATAATTTTATGGTTAGGGGTCACCACAACATGAGGAATTGTATTAAAGGGTCGCGGCATTAGGAAGGTTGAGAACCACTGGAGAGCCTGAAGTGAGGAATTTGTATCTTGAGTTCTCATCCCCTCTTTGCGCTGGTAGGCAATAGTCCAGTGCTGTTTAATCTAGTTTAAATGGGGACCCTGTCAGTTCCCCACACTTAACGTTTGCCTTAAAAAAAAAAAAAGAATCATGATCCTGCTTCCAAAAAGTAACAGGGACTGCCGAAAGGACACACTACTATCTTTTTTTATAAAAAATATTTTTATTGATTTCAGAGAGGAAGGGAGAGGGGGAGAGAGAGAGAGAGAGACATCAGTGATGAAAGAGACTCATTGATCTGCTGCTTCCTGCAGGCCCCACACTGGGGGTCCAGCCCCCAACGAGGGTATATGGCCTAATGGGGAATCCAATTGTGACCTCTTGGTTCATAGTCCATGCTCACCCACTGAGCCATGGGGCCATCTTTTGGTGAAATAGAAAAAGGAGAGCCCTGGGATATTTCTGTTATCTCATAGATCCACCTAAAAGTACTGACTGACATTTAAAAATTAGAGTGAGGGCCGAAACCGGTTTGGCTCAGTGGATAGAGCGTCGGCTTGCGGGCTGAAAGGTCCCAGGTTCGATTCCGGTCAGGGGCATGTACCTGGGTTGTGGGCAGATCCGCGGTGGGAGATGTGCAGGAGGCAGCTGATCGATGTTTCTCTCTCATCGATGTTTCTATCTTTCTATCTCTCTCCCTTCCTCTCTGTAAAAAATCAATAAGCTATATTTAAAAAAAAAATTAGAGTGAGGCCAAATTTTGTCAAGAGAAAAACATCATGCTGTTTTTTGAAGTATTGGAGGCCCATGCCAGATAATGGGCAGGAGAGATTCCCATGTTGGGAAAGTGGTGGTGTCTTGGAAACAAGGGTTTTCCACATTTCTCCTTGTGGCTGAGAGTAGGCAGTACTCAGTCTCTTGCTAGTAGCCTGTGCATGTGAATATTATCTATCTCCTCAACATACAGTGTTGAGGAGGTTCTCCTAATGAGATTACTGGTGCAGCAAAGTCAAGTATTCTGGCCTCTGGTTTTTGAGAACAGTCTTAGAATGCCAAGGTCTTGAGTGCTTCCTGAAGAGTTCCTTGCCTTTTCTTGGGGGAGAGGGTTTTAAAGTACCTCTGTGGCCATGAGACTCCTTTTTAAAAAATATATTTTTATTAATTTCAGCGAGGAAGGGAAAGGGAGATCCACACTGAGGATCTATCCCAAAACCCAGACACGTGCCCTCACTGGGAATCAAACTGGACCTCCTCGTTCATATGTCGATGCTCCACCACTGAGCCATGCTGGCCAGGCCATGAGACTATTTTTAATGGCTTTGGGTTTGGGGACATGGTGACATTTTAGGGAGCGACAAGAGGTTTATTATTACTGAGGCAGAGTAGAGTATGTTGACTGGTGGGAGATTGGGCTAGAGCAGAAGCCTGGAGCCAATAGTGAGGGGCTTTGACACTAGGCTAAAGGATTCAAGCACTTAATGTATGCTGGATCTCTGCCCACCCACCCCTGAGTTACATTCTGCTTTGGTCCTAGGCCCTGGCACCTCATCATTCCTATCTTGGGCTGGGCTCATACCCTGTCTGGCCCTTTCTTAGCCCTGGTTTGCTCTGGCTCCACACCTGACCTTATTGTGACTGGCAGCTCCCTGAAACCTTTACTTAACTCTGCCATAATGAAACTCATCATAGGAGATTTACACACCATGACCCTGCTACAAACTGAGGCTCTTTACCCTGCCCAGCCCTGTCTTTCTAAAGGACAGAGGAGTTGCCATTTTTCTTTCTGTGGCTTACCTGCATGGCTTGTGCCCTGGGAGCTTGAGGCTCAGTAATCACAGCCTTCAGCCCTGTAACCTCTGCCTGCCAACTCTTTCTTCTGCTTAAGAGTTCCTTATGAGTACTCAGAGCCCAGGGAAATGAGGTGCTGTCTACAGCTACCTTGGCTATGCAGATAGGTGGTTCTAACAGGAACTGGACAGAGAGTAACAGGCTTACTAGTTGGTGATTTGATCTTTTGTGAGTATAAACAAAGAACTCCTACCAGTTGTTATCCTCCATGGGATTATCAGATTGAATTGGTTTGAGCTTGCTTTCAAATAAATGTGGGTTAAATTATCCACTTTCTATTCCTCAAATATAATTCTCCCTGACCCCCACCTTTTCTAGAAAGGTAGTTAAGTTTGGGTCCTTAGCAAAGATGGCTCCAGAGGCCTAGTAGTAAATCTTGGGCTGCCCCTCCTACTGCGGGACATAGTAGAAATTACCAACATGGATTCCTGCCCTAAGTTTCACTGATTGCTTTCAGTAACCAGTTCCTTAGGGATATCAACTTGATGTGGTGGAGGTTCAGGGGCTGCAGAGATAAAATTCACTTTCTGGTTTTGCAGGAATTTTTCTGTCCTAGCACCAGTTGGCTAGGGTAGGACAGGATCAAGATTTGAGATCTGGTAGATATGTTTCCCTAGAGCAGCGGTTCTCAACCTGTGGTTCCGACCATTGGAAAACATATATAGCATATCAGATATTTACATTACGATTCATAACAGTAGCAAAGTTACAGTTATAAAGTAGCAACAAAAATAATTTTATGGTTGGGAGTCACCACAACATGCAGAACTGTATTAAAGGGTTGCGGCATTAGGAAGGTTGAGAACCACTGCTCTAGAGAGTCAGACGTGTGCTCTAATCACCTACTATGGGTGTTGATCAGCCTATTGATTAGTTCTGGGAAAAAGCTGGATAGTAGGCCCTCTAGACCAGGGGTCCTCAAACTATTTAAATAGGGCGCCAGTTCACTGTCCCTCAGACTGTTGGAGGGCCGGACTATAGTTTTTAAAAAAAACAACTATGAACAAATTCCTATGCACACTGCACATATCTTATTTTGAAGTAAAAAAACAAAATTGGAACAAATACAATATTTGTATTTGCATGTGGCCCGCGGGCCATAGTTTGAGGACCCCTGCTCTAGACCTTGCCAGTTGCTAACAGGGCTCTCCAGGCCCTTGAGTAGACTCAGTTTTGCTCTGAGCAAGCAGGGCTTAGACTGAGGCCCTGGTGTAGAGCAAAGATTGAGATCATTGGCAAATGGCACTTCGGGGGAGTCTTACTGAAGGGAACTGGCCTGTGTTTAACCCCTGTTGAGGAGGGTCTGGGCCTCTGGGAGACCCTTACAGGTAGGAGTGGGATAATGAACCCAAATGTGATCCTTAGCTCATGAGGCTGTGTGCCAGACTCTTGAAAGCAAATACTGGACAAGAGGCCCTAGTGAGCCAAGGGGCCTGTGGTGTGAAGAGGAGGACCCTATGGGTACACAGTCACATAGGTAGCCATTGGGCAACTTACAGGCACTTCCTCTTCAGAGTCTACGTTAGTGTCTCTTCCCCTGCTGATTCTACCCATTTGAGGACCCTCTAGTACAGAGAGCCATTGCCACTGTCTTTCCTGCATTGACTCAAAGTTTTCTGCTAGAAGAAGCTTCAAAGATCACCTGGTCCTATCTCTGCATCTTCAGATGAAGAGACAGGTCCGGAGAGGGAAGTACCCTGGCCAAGGATACACACCAGGTCATGAGCACAATCATGGACAGGGCCCAGGGCTTCTGATTCACTGGCCAAGTTTCTGTTCTCTGTCCCACCCTGTTTCAGAAGGTGCAGTTTATTATTCATTCAGCAGATGTTTAGGACCTACCAGGAGGCTGGTAGTTGGTGATTATACCTGGGCACACATTCGGGGGACTTGCTGGTGGCAGTGGTAGTGGTGGGAAGTGGAGAGGGAGAGGCAAGGAAACTGATGAACAAATTTGATCAATGATTATAAAAAAAAAAAGTGCATCCCAGAGAAGGGCCCATTTTAAATGACGTCAGATGTAATTCCTCTCTTCTAAACTCATCTATAGATTCCCTGAAGACAGCATCTGTCTTCCACAGTTCCTTTGCTCAGTGCTAGATGTAATTGGTCCTTAGAGATTGCTGCTGATGGAATATGTCTTGCTGTCCCAGTCTTCAGAGTATAGGTTTTAGTGTGTCCAATATCATGGGCATTCACGTCCAGCAACATCTGAGGGATAGAGGAATAAACCAATCAGCTGGTCTCACAGGGTGACCTACATCCCTTTATGCTTGTCTCTTCCTAGGCTTGGATTTGTAGAGTGGTGCCCAGTCTGATCCACAGGGACAGGGACAGAGGCAAATCTCTTAGCTCCCTGAAGCCCTCTGGCCCCCTTGTTGCTGAAGGTTCCACCTCACAGGCATTCTGCCACTCCCTTCAGTCAATCAGCCTGGCCCACTACAGTAGCTCCTTACCCTGCCCGTCCAATCTCACCACCACCAGGACTCCCTTCACACTGTCACCAGCACCATCTTTCTAAAATGGAAACTCACCCTTGACCTGACTTTACAGCCTTTCCTCCCCATGCCCATTACACTTTAGCCTCACTACTAAGCTGCTCCCTGTTCACCAAGCCTGCCACCTTTCTTTACGCCTTTTCAACTTTGTAAGATTGCTCCACTATAAGTAACTTGCAAGGTTATTTCCCTCTCTCTGGAAAACTTACTTGTCTTTTAGGACTCAACTTGAATGTTAATTTTTCCTCGGACAGTTACTACTGGCAGCCATAGTTCCTGGTATTGACCTTCCTCACAGTGCTGGCCACCTTGCATTGTAATTGACCTATGTGTGGTGAGGGTGTCTGGCCTTCTTATCAAACTGTGCTCCCAGAAGCTGGGACTGCTGATCCCTCAGGAACCCCAGCAGTTGGGAGGTCTAACAGGGTGCTCAATACATTTTGGTTGAATGTATAAATGAAGTGGGCACCCCTTGTTCTGCTTTTAGATTCCAAATCCTGACAGCTTTATGGAGCCCAGTTCTGGCAGGCTCCCAGAACTCGAAGCCACCAGACCCCACATGGAACCAAGGGCCTTGTGTTCGGCCGCTGCGCCCTCGGTAGAGAGGCAGTTCCGTGTTCTTGTGGGTGTCACTGGGAGTGTGGCGGCCCTGAAGTTACCTCTCCTGGTGTCACAGCTTTTGGACATTCCTGGCGTGAGTATCCTTACAAGACAAGCATGGCGACCTCTAACGTTAGAGAGTTGCTGGTCCTATAGCCAGCCCACTTTTGTGCTGTGCACAGGGTTTTCTTTTTCTTAATTATGGTGTTTGTGGCTGTCTGTGTATATTGGTGTGAGGGGAACGCAGGACACAGAGACCGAATTTGCCAGTTTAACCAGGAGCTGGATTAGATAGTTTGGACAGAGCTTAAGGGAAGACAGGGAAAGGAACACTGATAAATGGAGGCATTGAGTTTCCTTATGTTGACCCTGAGATTCCCTAAGGTCCTGGTGTGGGAGGAGGGCTAGCTGGAGAAATGGCAGCAAATTCTCTGTGTTGCCTTCTGCTTTGGGCTCCCTGCCCCTGCTTTCACTCTGTCTTCTACACTGTGGTTCTGTTCTCCCTCCTTAGACAGCATGGCTGTCCTATCAGTCCAAGTGCATTGTTCACAGCTCTGGTTTAAATTTTGCTCCTTCAAGTGTTCATCCATGCCCAGGGGCCACTGCATTGTGTTCAGTGTGAGGGGTTTAATCCCCAGCCATTGGCCAGACCATCTCAACTTTAATCAGTTTAATATATTGGGGTCTGGGATAGAGTCTTCTGTGGGGAAAGTTCTATGCTTTAAACAGTGTGAAAGCCAGCAGGTAACCCATTTCCTAATCTGGTATCCAAGTGCCTTCATTGATCTCCCACTGCCCCATACTCCATTCTGAAGGCCTTTGCTTTGGCCATTCCCTGCCAGGCTGCACTGCCCTCTCTGTCTTTCCAAATTCTACACAAGAAATTCATGTAGAAACCTTCCTGGTCTGCCTCAACCCATGTGATTTTGCTCCCTTGCAAAACTCATTTAATGTATTAAAGTGGTAAGAACATTTTATTCAGAAAAGTTATGGCAGAAAAAGTTATTCAGAAAAGTTAAGCCCAGTATAGAACTTGGCTTGATTCTGAATACAACAAGGAAAAGTGGGGATTATAGCCAAGGAGCAGTGTGGGAGCCAGTGGATGGAAAGATTGCTAAGAGGAAACATTCTGACTAAACTGTCCCAACAGGATTCTTGCTGAAAGCCGGCAGGGTGATCAGACATCATCTGGATGAGAAGCCTGATGAGATCCAGGATAGTCAGATATCGAGGGGGGTGGGGGTGGGCTTCTGGAGAAACCAACTTATTAGCAGGACTGTTGCTCTTGAGGACAAGGCTCAAAGATAGGCCAAGTCAAAAAAGTAGCTCACGGACATAAGACACTGGGGGATAGGGGAGGCTAGGGGACTGCCTAGGGCGGGGGGAAAAAATGGACACATATGTAATACCCTTTGTAATAAAAAATTAAAAAAAAATTTAAAAAAATAAAATGAGGATATATTATCTCAAAAAATAAAATAAAATAAAATTAAAAAAAGAAAAAAAAAGTAGCTCACTACAGTTTGGTCAAGGAGAGAATCTTGATTAAGATGGGGAACCATCAACTGCCATTGACACTGCTTGTGTTGCTGGAGACTAGTTTTGTGGAGTAGTGTTAAGCCACTGGGGCTTGGGTGATGCTTTTCCTTGATTGTTACCTGCACAGCTCCTGATGCAGGATGGCACAGGTGGGTGTACCCGGTGTGTCCAGCAGGGAGCAGTGCTCATCAGCAGATGAACATGTTGAGATTCCAGGCAGGGACTGGGAAATCTTTCACTAAACTTCTACCCAGAAAATCAGCCCCTCACCTCACACCCCCACCCCCACCTCCCAGGCCAGGAGAAGCAGTAGAGCAGGCAGCCATGGATGCCAGCTAGGCCAGATAGGGCAAGAGAGGAGAGTCTTGTGGCTATTCTGAGGCTGGCACTGGTGCTGCTGGGGCAGGGCTACCTGGAGCCTGCCACCCTCATGTGCCCTAAACTGTAGGTAGGAGCTGGCCAGCAGAGCCCTGAGGGTGGGAGGCCTTGGAAGGGATTGCAGTAGCAGCAGCCTCTGCCATTGCCCCCCTAGGGAGGGAGGAAGACACGTAGTTTCCCTTTCCCATAGCCCCAGAGCAAGTACATTTCCAGACTGGCTGGTGGCAGGGAGTCCTAGCCCAGGAAACAGATGGGCAGCTTCAGAGCTAAGGGAAATGGCAGCTCCACGCATCCTGCCGTTCCACGCAGCCAGCATTTATAGGGGTATGAAGAAAGGGTTGCCTGGGGCAGGAAGGTTCTCCAGCCCACTCCAGGCTTTTTAGCCTGGTCTGCTGAGGGACAGGCTGTATCTGGAACGGGACTCAGTTTTCCCTCTCTGGCTGGAGTTGAAGCCAGAAGATGGGTAGCCAGAAAGTCACTGACCTGGGAAGAAGGATGTCCTGACTTAACCTCATGGAGCCTGCTTTTTTTGGTTTAAAATTAGGATGACTACTCTCACCCATCCCTTTGGGCTCTTGTCAAGGCCCAGAAAGGGGAACACAGATGAAACAGTTTGTCATCTTGTGCCAAAAGCTAGGCACAGCTCCTGGCACATGAAAGCACTTAACAGTGTTTGTTTCCTGTCCTTCACTGTCTTTCCCCTTACTGTTATGTCCTTTGGGCCAGCCATATGGGAAGAATCATGGGATCCACAATCCATCTGTTCAAGTAGAGGGCCCACATCCATGTCACCTTTGGCTCTCTCATCCTGCAGGTAGACAGCTCCTCAAAGAGCCTGGGTTTGTTGGTGGGGCCCTTGTGAGGTGTTGGTAACTAAGGGGGATCCCTGGCTTGCCTTGTGTTGACCCTGAGGTAGCACTTCTCCACATTCTCTGATGGCACTGATCTCCCCATTTCTGCATCACCCCCGAGGAGCAATCTTTGTCCCTTGAAGCAGTCCTTCTCTGCTCTTTGTCTAAGTCATGGGTTCACATACCAAGGCACCCTTAGGTATACCTAGATTCTGACTAGCAAACAAGAAGCTGAGGTGTGGCTGCAGGGAGTTGAGTGATTCCGCAGATGTGGCTCATAACTACTCCTGATTCACCTGTGTCCATTAATCCCAGCAGAGCCACTGACATAGAACCAGACCAGGGAAATTGTGAGGGCATGAGGGAGAGGAATGGATTTGGACTCAAGACTCACATACCAACTGTCAGGGAAGGGTGGCCACCAACAAAGTAGACTTGGAGTCTTTATGTGAGGTGGGGGGAATTGGACAACAGGGGCCAACCTTACCTCAAGAGAGGTAGCTGAACCCGGCCGGTGTAGCTCAGTGGTTGAGTGTCAGCCTATGAGTCAGAAGATCAGGGTTCGATTCCTGGTCAGGGCACATGCCCGGGTTTCAGGCTCCATCCCCAGTGCGGGGTGTGCAGGAAGCAGCTGATCAATGATTCTCTCTCATCATTGATGTTTCTCTCTCTCCCTTCCTCTCTGAAATCAATAAACATATATATTAAAAAAATAAAAAAAGAGGCAGCTGAGTGTAGAGAATTTCTCACTCTGGGACCCTGGGCAAGTTAGTTCTTTATTGCCTCCGTTCCCTCCCCTCCCCTCCCCTCCCCACCCCTCTCCTCCTCTCCCCTCTCCTCCTCTCCCCTTCCTCACCTGAGGATATTCTGTCCATGGCTTTTCAGAGAGAGAATGGAAGGGAGGTAGGAAGGGAGGAGGGGGGAGAGAGAGGTGAGAGAGACACATTGATTGGTTACCTCCCACATGTGTCCAGGTTGGGGTGTGGAGTGAACCTGCAACCCAGATATAAGCCCTTGGCCAGGAATCGAACTCCCGACCCTTTGGTGCGCAGGCCGATGCTCTAATCATTTAGCACACTAGCCAGGGCTGGCCTCAGATTTCTTATTCATGCACTGAAGAGAAGCTACTCAAATGACCGATCTACAAGACCTCTTTGGCACTAGTGATAGAAGATTCTAGATGTGAGAGCACAAAGGACTAGGGCCCAAAAGCATCTTGAGAGAAGGTCTTGCGGGGAAGGAGCTTCGGGATTTTTTGCAGTTCATAATTGTCATGTAATGGGGTGGCAGTTAGTGTGAGTTACCAGCCAGTTTCTGCCCTTTGGTTGGCATCCTTCTCACTTGGGAGGAGAAAACAGATACCTCTAGCTTTGCTAGGGCAAGCATCAGCAGGGCTGAGAGCCAAAAGGGGATTTCTATTTTTATTATTAAAAAATATTTTTATTGATTTCAGAGAGGAAGGGAGAAGAGAAAGAGAGATAGAAATATCAATGATGAGAGAGAATATTGATCGGCTGCCTCTTGCATGCCCTCTATGAGGGATAGAGTCTGAAACCAGGACATGTGACCTCCTGGTTCATAGGTCTACGCTCAACCACTGAGTCATGCCCGGCCAGGCTGGAAGGAGATTTCTAAAGGTAGAGGAAATCTCCCACTCAGGGAGCTGGCAGGCTCTGAGCTTAGAGAAGGATACATTTCTAGAATGCCCATCAGGACATTCAGAGTCATCAAGAGGGAGGGAAAGGGGGCTCTGCTCATGTAGTATGAAATAAATTCTGCTTTTCTGGAGGACTATTTGGCTATATCTAGAGAAATCACAAATGTTGATTCACCTATAGGTCTCAACCCTGTGGGGTATATTTATAAACATCCATTTGTATAAAGAAATTGATTATAACATTTTTTATAATTTCAAAACAACAATGAAACAGGAAACAAATTGTCCAACTATCGAGAGGTGTGGTGCAATTATGGTCCAGCCTCTCAATGGACTCCTTGGTGATGGTTTAGAAGAATGAATGGATGGATCTCTGTGTGCTGATGTGGGACAATCCTTAAGATATACATGAATGAGCAAGGTACAGGACTTAGCAAACAATGGCCCCAGGCCAAATCTAGTTTTGTGGCCTGTTTTTTTTTTTCTTTACATTTAAAAAAAAATTGATTTCAGAGAGGAAGGGAGAGGGAGAGACAGAAACATCAATGATGAGAGAGAATCATTGATCACTGCCTCTTGCACGCCCCCTACTGGGGATCGAGCCCACACCCTGGGCATGTGCCTGACTGGGAATTGAACCGTGACCTCTTGGTTCATGGGTCATTTTTG